ACCCTTACAGGAAGGATATGGTTTGTAAACAGTGCTGCTGTAAGTAATGGTACAGGTATCCAGGCATCACCCTTTAAACAATCAACAGACATTACAGGTACATCTGCCAGCGACAATATATTTTTATACGAAAGTGCTACAGCTTATACAGGCAGTATTACTTTATTAAGTGGACAGAAGCTAATTGGCCAGGATGCATCATCTACATTGGCATCTATCACGGGTTATACAGTTCCATCCTACAGTTCATTGCCAGTTATGAATAGTGGCAATGGAACATTCGTTACACTTACAGCTACCAACGCCAATATCATTACGCTGAACAGCGGTAATACAGTAAGGGGCTTAACGGTAAACAATGCAGGCACAGGCAAAAAAATTACAGGTACTTCTTTCGGTACCTTAACATTGGGCAACAGCAGCACACCCGACGTAATACTTAACGGAACAGGTATGGCTCTTGATTTGACAACCGGAACCCTTGCTGGTGGATTGACAAGTCTTGCAACTACAAGCAGTGCCACACAGGGTATCAGCATCAATGCAGTTGCCGGCACTTATAATTTTGGCAATACAACCATCAGTGGAACCAGCACTCAGGGCATCTTGATTACAGGTTCATCTGCCATTGTTCCAACTTTTGGTACCACAACTGTAAGCTCAGGAACTGATGGCGTATCCATACAGAACAACAGCGGTAATGTTACGTTTACTTCACTGGGCGTTACTACTACAAATGGTATCGGTTTGTTAAGTACCAATAATACTGGGCAGGTAATTGTAACCAATGCCGTTGCTGCCATCAATGCCACGGGCGGTGCTGCACTCAGTTTATCACAGGCATCAGGAACCACAACAGTCAACCTGAATTTCACAGGCCTTACTTCAAGTGGTGCAGCCAATGCTGTTACACTTACCAATATTGCAGGAACAATTGTTGGAGGTACAGGCAGCCTTGTTGGCACAGGTACCGTATTCAATGTGAGTGGTGGTACGGTGGGTGTTACTTACAGTGGCGGTATTACACAGGCAAACAATGCAGCTACGGTAAGCATTGCTGGTGGCCATGCTACAGGAACGATAACATTCAGTACAGGAACAATCAGTGCTACTAACGGTACGGGTTTGCAGTTTGACAATGCAGATGGAACTTACAATTTCAACGGCACCAATACCATGAATGGTGGTGCATCATCCATAGCCATCTTTAATGGCTCTTCAGGAACATTCAGTTTCTCTTCCAGCAGTTCCATCACCAATCCTAATGGAGGGCCAGCAGTGAATATCATTGGTGGAACGGCTACTGTTACCTATAGTGGAAGCATTACCATCAGTTCACAAAACCAGCCGCTAGTGAGTATTTCAGGTGGGCATACTACAGGTACAGTTCTTTTCCAGACTGGTACACTCAGTGCAACCATTGGAACAGGTTTGCAGTTTGACAATGCAGATGGTACCTATAATTTTAATGGAACGAACACACTGAATGGTGGAAATGCAGGCGTTGATATATTAAATGGCAGTGCTGGTATATTCAGCTTTAGCAATAATACAAGTATCACCAGCCCTTCAGGAACCGCATTCAATGTAACTGGAAGCCCAACTGTCTCATCAACCTATGCAGGAACCATTACTCAGAATACTGCATCTCAATATGCAGTGAGTATTGATGCTACCAGTTCCAATACCATCAGCTTCACAGGTACAGTTACAGCAGCATCTACGCTGGCAACAGCAAACGGTGTGTTGCTCAATAACTGTAATGGGGGTAATGTAAGCTTCACTACATTGAACCTTGGTACAAGCGGAACAAGGATTTCAGGTCAGCCTGCTATAAGCATACAAAAAGGAACAGGTAGTGGCAGCGGAACATTTACACTGGGCACAGTAAGTATTTTCACTTCTGCTCAAAAAGGATTGCTGGCAACAAATATTGATGGAACAATCAACTCAACTGGTGGAACGATAGATGCACTCAGCACTTCAGCATTGGATATTGCAGGACCCGCAGGGTTTACTACGCTAGGCATGACAATAGGAACATTGAATTCCACAGGTGGCACCAACAATGTAAACCTGAGCAATTGCAGTGGAACAGCTAGTTTGGGTAGCGGTGCTTTAAGTGCTGCCAGTGGAACTTCATTTCTTGTCAGTGCGGGCTCTGCAGCTATAACCTATAACGGCACCATCAGCCAGAGCAATGCACAAAAAGTAATAGATATTGCTTCTACCACAGGTGGTGCAAAAGCATTTGGTGGCAATATCACCATCTCTGGCAGCAGCACAGGAATCAGCATTACTGGTTCAACCAATGCTACCAGTACCAATTCTGTTACTATATCAGGTAATATAACAGCAACAGCTGCACAAACTGCTATTACTGTTTCCAGCAATACTGCAGGTACCTTCACCTTTAGCGGAACAACTAAATCCATATCCACTTCAACAGCTAATGCTGTAAACCTGGCAACCAATACTGGCTGTACCATTAATTTCAGCAATGGTGGTTTAGCTATTACTACATCAAGTGGTGTAGGGTTCAATGCAACAGGTGGAGCAACGGCGGTTAATGTGACCACTGGTACAAATAATAATACTATATCATCGGGTTCTGGCACAGCATTAAATGTTAACAGTACAACCATCGGTTCAAGTGGGCTAAATTTTTATAGTATATCCGTAAACGGAGCAACCAATGGAATAAACTTGAATACGACTGGTTCATCAGGAGGGGGGTTAAATGTAACTGGTACCGGTACCACAGCAGGAAGCGGCGGTACTATTCAAAATATTAGTGCACGAGGGGTGGAATTCATTTCTTCCAATAATATCAGCCTAAAGAACATGAACTTCACCAATGCTAATACAACTGATGCTGTTGCAAGCAATACTGGGCTTTCAACAGGGAATAATTTAAGTGAAAATGCTGCCATCTATTTATACACTGTCAATACTGTATCATTAGACAGAATTGCTATTAGTGGTACCACCGTAGAAGAAGGAATTAATGGAAACACCGTAAGCAATTTTACATTATCAAATAGTTCGATAGTAAATGCAGGTGACCAACCTGATGAAGATGGCATTCATTTTTATAACATGAGTGGAACTTGTGCAATAACGAATACAACTATCAATTGTACAGTAGTAACTCCCAATACAACAGGAGGAGACGATCACATGAATCTACAGATGCAATCAGGTACGCTGAATCTTACGATCTCTGGCGGAAGTGCTACGAATGCCAATAAAGGCAGCGGCTACCTGTTTGGTATCCGTGGAACTGCAAATGCTACGATAACGTTTTCAAGTGCAACTTCTACTACCAATTTTAGTGGAGGGATAGTAGCAGATGCTTATGATAATGCAACTATG